CGCAATTCTGACTTTATTTCTCGCAATTCTGACTTTATTTCTCGTAATTCTGACTTTATTTCTCGTAATTCTGACTTTATTTCTCGCAATTCTGACTTTTTCTCAAAAAGGTAATAGCCACGATCTCGCAATTCTGCATTTATCGCATTACTGATTTTTTTCTCACAATTCTGACTTTATTTCTCGTAATTCTGACTTTATTTCTCACAATTCTGACTTTATTTCTCACAATTCTGACTTTATTTCTCACAATTCTGACTTTATTTCTCACAATTCTGACTTTATTTCTCACAATTCTGACTTTATTTCTCACAATTCTGACTTTATTTCTCGCAATTCTGACTTTATTTCTCGCAATTCTGACTTTATTTCTCACAATTCTGACTATATTTCTCACAATTCTGACTTTATTTCTCGCAATTCTGACTTTATTTCTCGCAATTCTGACTTTATTTCTCACAATTCTGACTTTATTTCTCGTAATTCTGACTTTATTTCTCGTAATTCTGACTTTATTTCTCGCAATTCTGACTTTATTTCTCGCAATTCTGACTTTATTTCTCACAATTCTGACTTTATTTCTCGTAATTCTGACTTTATTTCTCACAATTCTGACTTTATTTCTCGTAATTCTGACTTTATTTCTCGTAATTCTGACTTTATTTCTCACAATTCTGACTTTATTTCTCGTAATTCTGACTTTATTTCTCGCAATTCTGACTTTATTTCTCGTAATTCTGACTTTATTTCTCGCAATTCTGACTTTATTTCTCGCAATTCTGACTTAATTTCTCACAATTCTGACTTTATTTCTCACAATTCTGACTTTATTTCTCACAATTCTGACTTTATTTCTCACAATTCTGACTTTATTTCTCGTAATTCTGACTTTATTTCTCGTAATTCTGACTTTATTTCTCGCAATTCTGACTTTATTTCTCGCAATTCTGACTTTATTTCTCGTAATTCTGACTTTATTTCTCGTAATTCTGACTTTATTTCTCGTAATTCTGACTTTATTTTTCTCAAAAAGGTAATAGCCACGATCTCGCAATTCTGCATTTATCGCATTACTGATTTTTTCTCACAATTCTGACTTTATTTCTCGTAATTCTGACTTTATTTCTCGCAATTCTGACTTTATTTCTCACAATTCTGACTTTATTTCTCACAATTCTGACTTTATTTCTCGTAATTCTGACTTTATTTCTCGTAAATCTGACTTTATTTCTCACAATTCTGACTTTATTTCTCACAATTCTGACTTTATTTCTCGTAATTCTGACTTTATTTCTCGTAATTCTGACTTTATTTCTCACAATTCTGACTTTATTTCTCACAATTCTGACTTTATTTCTCACAATTCTGACTTTATTTCTCACAATTCTGACTTTATTTCTCGTAATTCTGACTTTATTTCTCGTAATTCTGACTTTATTTCTCACAATTCTGACTTTATTTCTCACAATTCTGACTTTTTTCGGACTTTATTTCTTGCAATTCTGACTTTATTTCTCACAATACTGACTTTATTTCTCACAATTCTGACTTTATTTCTCGTAATTCTGACTTTATTTCTCACAATTCTGACTTTATTTCTCACAATTCTGACTTTATTTCTCACAATTCTGACTTTATTTCTCGTAATTCTGACTTTATTTCTCGTAATTCTGACTTTATTTCTCACAATTCTGACTTTATTTCTCACAATTCTGACTTTATTTCTCACAATTCTGACTTTTTTCGGACTTTATTTCTCGCAATTTTGACTTTATTTCTCACAATTTTGACTTTATTTCTCACAATACTGACTTTATTTCTCACAATTCTGACTTTATTTCTCACAATTCTGACTTTATTTCTCACAATTCTGACTTTATTTCTCACAATTCTGACTTTATTTCTCACAATTCTGACTTTATTTCTCACAATTCTGACTATTTCTCACAATTCTGACTTTTTTCGGACTTTATTTCTTGCAATTCTGACTTTATTTCTCTCAATTCTGACTTTATTTCTCACAATTCTGACTTTATTTCTCACAATTCTGACTTTATTTCTCGTAATTCTGACTTTATTTCTCGTAATTCTGACTTTATTTCTCGTAATTCTGACTTTATTTCTCGCAATTCTGACTATTTTCTCGCAATTCTGACTTTATTTCTCGTAATTCTGACTTTATTTCTCGCAATTCTGACTTTATTTTTCTCAAAAAGGTAATAGCCACGATCTCGCAATTCTGCATTTATCGCATTACTGATTTTTTTCTCACAATTCTGACTTTATTTCTCGTAATTCTGACTTTATTTCTCGCAATTCTGACTTTATTTCTCACAATTCTGACTTTATTTCTCACAATTCTGACTTTATTTCTCGTAATTCTGACTTTATTTCTCGTAATTCTGACTTTATTTCTCACAATTCTGACTTTATTTCTCACAATTCTGACTTTATTTCTCACAATACTGACTTTATTTCTCACAATTCTGACTTTATTTCTCACAATTCTGACTTTATTTCTCGTAATTCTGACTTTATTTCTCGTAATTCTGACTTTATTTCTCGCAATTCTGACTTTTTTCAGACTTTATTTCTTGCAATTCTGACTTTATTTCTCACAATACTGACTTTATTTCTCACAATTCTGACTTTATTTCTCACAATTCTGACTTTATTTCTCGTAATTCTGACTTTATTTCTCGTAATTCTGACTTTATTTCTCGCAATTCTGACTTTTTTCGGACTTTATTTCTCGCAATTCTGACTTTATTTCTAACAATTCTGACTTTATTTCTCACAATTCTGACTTTATTTCTCACAATTCTGACTTTCTCACAATTCTGACTTTTTTCGGACTTTATTTCTTGCAATTCTGACTTTATTTCTCTCAATTCTGACTTTATTTCTCACAATTCTGACTTTATTCTGACTATTTCTTGCAATTCTGACTTTATTTCTCTCAATTCTGACTTTATTTCTCACAATTCTGACTTTATTTCTCTCAATTCTGACTTTATTTCTCACAATTCTGACTTTATTCTGACTATTTCTTGCAATTCTGACTTTATTTCTCACAATTCTGACTTTATTTCTCACAATTCTGACTTTATTCTGACTATTTCTTGCAATTCTGACTTTATTTCTCACAATTCCGACTTTATTTCTCACAATTCTGACTTTATTTCTCTCAATTTTGACTTTTTTCGGACTTTATTTCTTGCAATTCTGACTTTATTTCTCTCAATTCTGACTTTATTTCTCACAATTCTGACTTTATTCTGACTATTTCTTGCAATTCTGACTTTATTTCTCTCAATTCTGACTTTATTTCTCTCAATTCTGACTTTATTTCTCACAATTCTGACTTTATTTTGACTATTTCTTGCAATTCTGACTTTATTTCTCTCAATTCTGACTTTATTTCTCTCAATTCTGACTTTATTTCTCACAATTCTGACTTTATTCTGACTATTTCTTGCAATTCTGACTTTATTTCTCTCAATTCTGACTTTATTTCTCTCAATTCTGACTTTATTTCTCACAATTCTGACTTTATTTCTCACAATTCTGACTTTATTCTGACTATTTCTTGCAATTCTGACTTTATTTCTCACAATTTTGACTTTTTTCGGACTTTATTTCTTGCAATTCTGACTTTATTTCTCTCAATTCTGACTTTATTTCTCACAATTCTGACTTTATTTCTCACAATTCTGACTTTATTCTGACTATTTCTTGCAATTCTGACTTTATTTCTCTCAATTCTGACTTTATTTCTCTCAATTCTGACTTTATTTCTCACAATTCTGACTTTATTTCTCTCAATTCTGACTTTATTTCTCTCAATTCTGACTTTATTTCTCACAATTCTGACTTTATTTCTCACAATTCTGACTTTATTCTGACTATTTCTTGCAATTCTGACTTTATTTCTCACAATTCTGACTTTATTTCTCACAATTCTGACTTTATTCTGACTATTTCTTGCAATTCTGACTTTATTTCTCACAATTCCGACTTTATTTCTCTCAATTTTGACTTTTTTCGGACTTTATTTCTTGCAATTCTGTCTTTATTTCTCTCAATTCTGACTTTATTTCTCACAATTCTGACTTTATTTCTCTCAATTCTGACTTTATTTCTCTCAATTCTGACTTTATTTCTCACAATTCTGACTTTATTTCTCACAATTCTGACTTTATTCTGACTATTTCTTGCAATTCTGACTTTATTTCTCACAATTCTGACTTTATTTCTCACAATTCTGACTTTATTCTGACTATTTCTTGCAATTCTGACTTTATTTCTCACAATTCTGACTTTATTTCTCTCAATTTTGACTTTTTTCGGACTTTATTTCTTGCAATTCTGACTTTATTTCTCACAATTCCGACTTTATTTCTCACAATTCTGACTTTATTTCTCTCAATTTTGACTTTTTTCGGACTTTATTTCTTGCAATTCTGACTTTATTTCTCACAATTCTGACTTTTTTCGGACTTTATTTCTTGCAATTCTGACTTTATTTCTCACAGTTTTGACTTTATCACTGGCAATTTCCTTTTAATTTTTATTCTGTGGTGGAAACAAGCTTCCATGCGTTTTACAAGAAAACACAATTATACTTAATGTCAGATTTAACTGGCCGTGTTTCTGTGCAGTGATCAGTGTTTCCAGCGTTTGACGTGAGCCGAGAAACTAGACTGAACCCTTTCAGAAACAGCATAATGTAAAGAACGGATATGAATTGAATTGTCCAGATTTGAATATGCCACTGTTAGGAGGATATTGAATTATCAGGTTAATTTATCATCAGAAATGAAGCAGAAAAGATATTTATCTGTGAAGTTCCTTAACCGTCCACATCATCGTACAACGACAGGTTTAATTTATTCCAGAGCGTCTGGATCTCGACGTGCGATGCCAGATGTCTCTGAACATCTGTAGATGCCGTATGAATAAAACACATCTCATCTCTCATATTCTTCGTGCTTTATAAGGCCCGTAAAGCGCTCTCCGATCGGCAGAAGGATCTAGAAGTGAAGACCCAGCAGCTGGAGATCAAACTCAGCAGTAAAATGGAGGAGGACATCAAGAAAGCGCGCAGAAAATCCACACAGGCCGGTCAGTTTCTTCATCAACACCACAAACCTCACATCTGGCCAACCAATCACAGTGAAGGACACAACTATCACATGACCCGCTTCCTTATATGCGGCCTTTACAGTGCCATCCCTGTGAAGAGGGATCCGGTCACTTACTTAAAAACTTAATGCTTAATTGAAGAAAGTTAAGTTATGATAAGTTTAATTAAGTTTTGTGAACTTGACAATTCCACATTATTTAATTTTTTTGATTAAGCATGAAGTTTATTTACTTAATAATTTAAGTCAACTGATCCCTCTTTACAGTGTTTACAATGTTTATCTTTGAGGGAAATGTCTACATTTTCACATACTATTTCTAAACTAGAACGCTCATCAAGTGTATACTGAGAGTGTTCAGGAAGTAGAAAGCAAACATTCTATTGTGAACAGAACACCGCCATCCTCGAGTCGGAGAGGAAAGTGTGTGTTCGCTGACATCTAGTGTCAGACTGTGGTAACGCTGTTATAGAGAAGTGTGTAATGCAGTTCTGTTCTGCATAAATGTGATAACCTTGATGAGTGTGTGTGTGTGTGTGTGTGTGTGTGTGATAACCTTGATGAGTGTGTGTGTGTGTGTGTGTGTGTGTGTGTGTGTGTGTGTGTGTGTGTGTGTGTGTGTGTGTGATAACCTTGATGAGTGTGTGTGTGTGTGTGAGTGTGTGTGTGTGTGTGTGTGTGTGTGTGTGTGTGTGTGTGTGATAACCTTGATGAGTGTGTGTGTGTGTGTGTGTGTGTGTGTGTGTGTGTGTGTGTGTGTGTGTGTGTGTGTGTGTGTGTGTGTGTGTGTGTGATAACCTTGATGAGTGTGTGTGTAATAACCTTGACGAGTGTGTAACTCCTGCTCTGATCTCAGGAGACGAGCTGATGCGATGTGTCGACCTCTACAATCAGTCCCAGTCCAAGTGGTTTGAGGAGATGGTCACCAGCAGCCTGGTAAGACTGAGAAACACACACACACTGAACACACACACACATCTGTGATGCAGATCCTCACAGACACACTGAACACACACACACTTCTGACTGAAGTGATCTGTTTAGTTATGTTTAATGTTTCTGAATTAAAGTGTCAAATAAAGCAAATAATAGAGATTCTCTCAGATCATGATGTAATAATTGTATGGGTTAGAGTTGGGTTTTGGGGTAATGGTTGGGCTAGAGTTAAAGTTAACAGTGTAACTACACATGTTAAAGAGGACCTATGATTCAGTGTGTGTGATGTTGCTGTGTGATCATGAAGAAGCTCCAGTTCTTCTCTATATCAGAGTCAGTGTTTCTGAACTCCTGAAACACCTCCATTGTAGTCTTGAGTTTCTCCCGGGAACGAACACGTCTCAATATTCCTCATTATAATAATTAATGTGCAGAATAAAGGGGCGGGGCCTGGTTGAGTTAGTAGTGTGTTGAAACTGGCGGTTATGGAAAGGGGCGGGACATTTTACAAACATGGCGGGTTTGTAACTCATTAGCATAATGCCCGCCTCTGGCCTTGATTGGCTGAGCAGCGTCTCTTAGCTCCGCCCTCAAACACTGTAGTGTATCTGAGACTGGGAGAGTTCGGCTCGTGTTGTTCGTGTCGAGAAGACGCTGTTTTCTGAGATTGAGACGGTGAAACCCACGCCATCGTTACTGTTCGTATCACTGTGATCAAGAGCTGAGATTCAGATATGATAATGAGCGTTCTGACCAATCAGAGCAGAGCAGCTCTCAGAGAGGCGGGGCTTAGAGAGACTGAGTCTTCGATGGAAGCGTTTCAGACACTGAGAGGAAAGAGCTGAAGCTGCAGTGGAGATTATGAGGAAATCAGTGTTTCTGAGCTGGAATGATGTAAACCTGTTAGAGGAGACGCTAAAACAACATTAGGAACGTTTAAAATAGCATCAGAGGCGGTTTAAAATGGAACAACATGTATGTACACAAGGTTTTGATCCACTTCAAATGGTATTAGGTTGCCTTACTAAAGTAAATTGAATCAAATGGTTAATTCATCAAAGTTATACATGAATTTTGAAGCCGTTCTTGTCTAAGGACAACTTTGATGAACTTTTTAGATGCACTTCACATGTTGACGAGTGTGTGTAATTGTATAATGTTGTGTGTTGGTCAGGAGCTGGAGCGTCTGGAGGTGGAGCGCGTGGAGATGATCAGACAACATCTGTGTCAGTACACAACGCTACGCCACGAGACCGACATGTTCAACCAGGGCGTGAGTGCAGACACACACGTTCACACACGTTCACACACATTCAGGAGGTCTAATGCAGATCAAGAGGAATAACCAGTGTATGTAACTCATCACAAGTAACTTGAGTTACGTAATCAGATTACTTTTCTTAAAAAAAGTAACTAAGTAATGCAATTAGTTTGCATTAGTTACTTTTTAAGAGAGTAATGCAATATTGTAATTCATTTCTTTTCAAAGTAAGTCTCCTTCATTTATACAGCGCTTTAACAGTATAGAGTTTCACAGCAGCTTTACAGTGATAACAGGAGATTACAGTAACAGTGTGTTTAGGCTTTACAGCAGCTCTAGAATAAAGTTATTGTCCAGATAAAGTTAGTGTTGATTGATTCACTTCTGTAATATTGATGGTTAATTTGATTAATTCACATGTAATAACACCGTGGCGTTCCACATCCAGACTGTAGAGCCGGTGGATAAACTCCTGCGGAGCGTCGATCCCGCCAGAGACCGAGAACTGTGGGTGAAAGAACACAAAACAGGAGAGCTGAGGCCGGCCGACATGGAGGTCTGAGGATATCCAGAGAGAGAGAGAGAGATAACACTGCAGATCGACTCAGCGGAGAGAGAGGACCGGCCGAGCTACAGCCGAAACAAGAGGACGATCACGTCTCTAACCCAGCGGAGGCTCGAGGAGAACAAGTGTAAATATCTGTATCAGGACTTCACTCAGGAGAACCGATGTGTCTGTCAGGATCTACTGATGCAATCACAACATTAGCATTGAACAGTGTCTGATCTGTTCGGAACAGAACTAATATATAAATGCTGCTACTGATTTAATTCTGTGACTAATCAAAGCCATCGCTTCCAGTTGACATGAACTGCACATCTATAACTCGCATAATGCCATGACATATTCAAAACAGTGAGAATGCAGATTTGATGAGGATTTGAGGAGTTGTAAAGTGGGATTTCCCAGGACGGACGTGGAAAAGGAAAGCGGATCCAGAAGTGGAGCGACTCATTACACTTTGATGAATTGATACTTTTGTCCTTTGTTGTAATAACTGTATGAATCATTCACAGTAAGACCAGAAACATGGATTAACCAGTAAAGTGTTGATTTCATGATGCAGCTTTTGCAGGAAATATGAACGAACAATCGTTCCCACCACGGAATAAAACATGATATTGCAATGTTTTATATCACAATTCTGACTTTTCTTGCGATTCCGCCATTAGAATGGCGAGATATAAACTCAGAATTACAAGCAAAAAAAAGTCTGAATTGTGTGACAAAAACTCAAGATATAAAGTCGGAACTGTGAGTTTATATCTAGCAATTCTGACTTTTTTTACTCAGAATTGTGAGTTATAAACTTTTAAAAGTTATTGCAGTCAGAATATCGAGATATAAAGTCAGAATTGCAAGAAATAAAGTCAGAATTCAGAGAAATGAAATCAGAATATCGAGATATAAAGTCAGAACTGTGAGTTTATCTTACAATTCTGACTTTTTTACTCAGAATTGTGAGTTATAAACTTTTAAGTTATTGCAGTCAGAATATCGAGATATAAAGTCAGAATTACGAAAAATAAAGTCAGAATTACGAAAAATAAAGTCAGAATTACGAAAAATAAAGTCAGAATTACGAGAAATAGTCAGAATTGCGAAATAAAGTCAGAATTGCGAAATAAAGTCAGAATTACGAGAAATAAAGTCAGAATTGCGAAATAGTCAGAATTGTGAGAAATAGTCAGAATTACGAGAAATATAGTCAGAATTACGAGAAATAAGTCAGAATTGCGAAATAAAGTCAGAATTACGAGAAATAAAGTCAGAATTGCGAAAAATAAAGTCAGAATAGCGAGAAAGTCAGAATTGTGAGAAATAAGTCAGAATTACGAGAAATAAAGTCAGAATTACGAGAAATAAAGTCAGAATTACGAGAAATAAAGTCAGAATTACGAAAAATAACGTCAGAATTACGAAAAATAAAGTCAGAATTGAGAGAAATAAAGTCAGAATTGTGAGAAATAAAGTCAGAATTACGAGAAATAAAGTCAGAATAGCGAGAAAAAGTCAGAAGTGTTAGAAATAGTCAGAATTATGAGAAATAGTCAGAATTGCGAAATAAAGTCAGAATAGCGAGAAAAAGTCAGAAGTGTTAGAAATAGTCAGAATTATGAGAAATAGTCAGAATTGCGAAATAAAGTCAGAATAGCGAGAAATAAAGTCAGAATTATGAGAAATAAAGTCAGAATTACGAAAAATAACGTCAGAATTGTGAGAAATAAGTCAGAATTGAGAGAAATAAAGTCAGAATTGTGAGAAATAAAGTCAGAATTACGAGAAATAAAGTCAGAATAGCGAGAAAAAGTCCGAAGTGTTAGAAATAGTCAGAATTATGAGAAATAGTCAGAATTGCGAAATAAAGTCAGAATAGCGAGAAATAAAGTCAGAATTATGAGAAATAAAGTCAGAATTACGAGAAAAAGTCAGAAGTGTGAGAAATAGTCAGAATTGCGAAATAAAGTCAGAATTACGAGAAATAAAGTCAGAATTACGAGAAATAAAGTCAGAAGTCAGAATTACGAGAAATAAAGTCAGAATTACGAGAAATAAAGTCAGAAGTCAGAATTACGAGAAATAAAGTCAGAATTGTGAGAAATAAAGTCAGAATTACAAGATATAGTCAGAATTGTGAGAAATAAATTCTGAATTGGAAATAGTCAGAATTACGAAAAATAAAGTCATAATAGCGAGAAATAAAGTCAGAATTGCGCAACAATTTTTATTTTGCCTTTTTATTCGTAGGAAGCAACATTGGATATTACAGAAGAAAGGTGAAACTCTCCGCATATCTATATCTGTAGATTAATATCAGCTCCACACTGCCATAACCGTCTCAGGTTCACATCAATGAACAAACACACAATCACACCAGGACTTTTATTTTCTGTTCGTTCGCTCAGATTTACAGAAGTCTCAAACACTCATTAATATAGTTTCCCCCAAACGATCCGTATATAGTCCGAGACACAGATAATATTTGGAAATAATTCTGCACAATGCTTATTTTTATACCAAATCAATTAACAACTTTTGTAAATGATCTTCAAGTGGTTTAAACTGGATTTCACTCGAGGTACATCTCCATTACTGGCGCTCTCTTAAACATGCGTGTGAATGAAGAACTGCTGAATATCATCCAGTTATTATGTTTTCTGTAATATAAATGACGTTAAATGTAATGTTTTACTAAATAGGATTTATAGTTTGCTATATTTATGTAGCTGTCATCAGTTGGTATCTCAATAAATACAAAACTAATGCAAACATGACGCTATTGAGCAAGGAAATAATAAAGTATATATACTGTATATCCATTCTATGCATTTCTCATGTTTTGTCAGGATATTCAATTTGATTTTTATGAAAGCTTGTTTCTGCCATGGAATAAAAAATTAAAACATTTTCTTAGTGCAACTTTTGGAAACACTTTATTTTACCGTGTCTTTGTTACACATATTGCATGTACTTACTGTAGTTATAACAGTAAATTATGGAGAATTACATGCAACTAACTCTAATCCTATAGTAAGTACATGTTGTGAATTTATATTACTGTAAAATTACACTGTATTAAGGAAGTGTAACAACGTTTTATCTCACAACTCACATTTTCTTTAAAATTGTGAGATATAACCTTGACATTCTGAGAGCAATTGTAGTCACACTTGTAATGTTTTATTCTGTGGCGGACACGAGCTTCCATACAAGTGAAACTGAACTTTGATTAAAACTTATTTGTCTTGTTTTCAGTGTGTAGAATTGAAGCTGTTTAACTGCTATAAACACTCGACCCTTACATGTAATCAAGAATATTACGGCAACATTACTAACAGTTTATTGATATCAAATGTAATTCTGAACAGATACTTGTGATAAAAAGATTTATACGTTTAGATAAACTGGTCACACTTTACAGTAAGGTTCATTAGTTAACACCAGGTAATGTATAAACTAACATGAACTAACATGAGCAATACATTTGTACAGTATTTATTAATCTTTGTTAATGTTAGTTAATAATAATCCAGCTGTTCATTGTTTGTTCATGTTAGTTCACAGTGCAGTAACTAATGTTAACTAATACAACCTTTGATTTTAATAACGTATTAGTAAATGTTGAAATTAATATGAACTAAGATTAATAAATGCTGTAGAAGTATTGTTCATTATTAGCTCATGTTAACTAATGAGCCTTATTGTAAAGTGTTACTGAAAAACCAGCTGGACTGAAGACTCAGATCTAGTCGATCATCAGTTTCTTCATCGAGTTCAAGTACGTGGGAATGAGAGAGTTGAGGGACTCGTCGTCATCCGTGACCTTCTGACCTCTGCCCTCTGACCCCACTGACCCGGGTGACCTCACCAGCGCTGGATAGGGTGTGCTGTAACCCTGAGAGACGAGAGAGTAGAGCGTTACACTCACACACACACACACTCACTCTCTTACTCTCTCACTCTCTCACTCACCTCACACTCTCTCACTCAATCACACACTCTCACTCACTCACACACACACACACACTCACGGATGAGTAGCCCTTCCCGAAGCTCCCGCTCCTCTTGCTCCTGATCTTAGTGAGTGCAGACTCTGCGATGTCGGCTCGCTCTTCTGCGTCGTCGAGCTCGTGAACCGTCTTCCTGTATTTCACCAGGTGAACATTCGCCTGCTCCTCCTATTCCAGGACACACACTTCAGATTAGTGCTGGTTACGTTCTCCTCCCAGTCTAGGGGTCAGGAGGGGAGGTAACAGTGCTGGTTTATGCTGGTTAGTGCTGGTTTATGCTGGTTAGTGCTGGTTAATGCTGGTTAGTGCTGGTTTATGCTGGTTTATGCTGGTTAGTGCTGGTTTATGCTGGTTAATGCTGGTTAGTGCTGGTTTATGCTGGTTAGTGCTGGTTTATGCTGGTTAGTGCTGGTTAATGCTGGTTAGTGCTGGTTAGTGCTGGTTTATGCTGGTTAGTGCTGGTTAATGCTGGTTAGTGCTGGTTAGTGCTGGTTTATGCTGGTTAGTGCTGGTTTATGCTGGTTAGTGCTGGTTAATGCTGGTTAGTGCTGGTTAGTGCTGGTTTATGCTGGTTAGTGCTGGTTTGTGCTGGTTAGTGCTGGTTAATGCTGGTTAATGCTGGTTTATGCTGGTTTATGCTGGTTAGTGCTGGTTAATGCTGGTTTATGCTGGTTAGTGCTGGTTAGTGCTGGTTAGTGCTGGTTAGTGCTGGTTTATGCTGGTTAGTGCTGGTTAGTGCTGGTTTATGCTGGTTTATGCTGGTTAGTGCTGGTTAGTGCTAGTTTATGCTGGTTAGTGCTGGTTAGTGCTGGTTAGTGCTGGTTAGTGCTGGTTTATGCTGGTTAGTGCTGGTTTATGCTGGTTAGTGCTGGTTTATACTGGTTAGTGCTGGTTTATGCTGGTTTATGCTGGTTAGTGCTGGTTTAAGCTGGTTAGTGCTGGTTTATGCTGGTTAGTGCTGGTTTATGCTGGTTAGTGCTGGTTAATGCTGGTTAGTGCTGGTTAGTGCTGGTTTATGCTGGTTAGTGCTGGTTTGTGCTGGTTAGTGCTGGTTAGTGCTGGTTAGTGCTGGTTTGTGCTGGTTAGTGCTGGTTAGTGCTGGTTAATGCTGGTTAGTGCTGGTTAGTGCTGGTTTATGCTGGTTAGTGCTGGTTTATGCTGGTTAGTGCTGGTTTATACTGGTTAGTGCTGGTTTATGCTGGTTTATGCTGGTTAGTGCTGGTTTATGCTGGTTAGTGCTGGTTTATGCTGGTTAGTGCTGGTTTATGCTGGTTAGTGCTGGCTTTGCAGGAAGTTTGTGGGTCCATCAGCTTGAGTAGAACGAGCCGCGAGTGAAGCGTGTGTGTCTACACCAGCACTGACCAGCATAAACCAGCACGGACCAGCATAAAGCACAGGTAACAGGCAGAGTCCTACCGCCTCCTCCACTTGTCTCTTGTAGGCCCTCATCTTCATCTGCAGTCTCTCCACCAGCTCCTGCATCCTCTGCTGGTTCTTCTGGTCCTCCTCGGTCTGGAAGAGCAGCTCCTTCAGGCGTCGCTCGTTCTTGCGCAGGTTCTTCAGCGTCTCGGCGTGTTTCTTCTGCTCGGTATCCAGCTCCAGCTCCAGCTCCTTCACCTGCACGTGTGATTCAACGCACCGCACACACAGAGAGAACACTGACACATCACTCATTAAACATGCTATTGCTCAGAGCTCATTTATGTTTATTCAGAATACATTAACTACTGCTCATTTATACCACTTGAAATGCTGAAAGAAATTAAAGCCCATTTTCGCAACAAAAGGAAAAGAAAATCTTCTAAAATCTTCTAAATTATGAGTTAAAAGTCATTATTAACTAAATAAAACGTATTTATCATAACCTCGCTTTGTTCCCAAATTTGCCCCACTGCAGGTACGCCTGTAGTCCCTCTGGTCCCGCTGGATCGGTCGCTGGGAGCCTGGCTAGCGTTTCCCAGCCCCTCTCGCTGGCTCATTCGGACTATCAGGCTCGGCTGGCATCCCCCCAAATTCAGGGGCATCCATTTTACATCTGTGAGAATGTCAGATGCCCCTGTCTTGCGTGCGGAGACCGCAGTGCTACTGGCGAAGGACGGGATAGAGCCGGTCCCTCCAGCCGATATGAGGTCAGGGTTTTACAGCCCGGCGGTGGGTTACGGCCAATCTCGGACCTGCGAGTCCTGAATTGGAACCTTTACAGGCTACCGTTTAAGATGTTAGCGCAGAAATGCATTTTTCAAGATTGGTTTGCAGCAATCGACCTGAAGGATGCGTACTTTCATGTCTTGATTCTCCCTCGACACAGGCCATTTCATATCAGTACAAGCTCCTGCCCTTCGGCCTGTCCCTGTCTCCCCATGTCTTCGCGAAAGTCAAGGAGGCGGCCCTTGGTCCCCTGAGAGAACACAGCGGTTGCATTCTCAACTATCTCGACGATTGGCTTATTCTAGCACAGTCTAGCACATGGTGCTCAGTCACCTCAGCCGGTTGGATCTTTGGGTCAACTGGGAAAAGAGCAATCTCGCCCCCGTGCAGAGGATCTCTCAACTTGGTATGAAGTTGGACTCGGTCACACAGTCGGCCCACCTCACAGAAGAGCGTGTCCAGTCAGTGTTGAACTGCCTGAATTCGTTCAAAAGGCAGGACAGTCGCCCCACTGAAGTTATTTCAGAGGCTCCTGGGGCACATGGCAGCCGCAGTAACGCCGCTCGGCTTGCTTCATATGAGGCCGCTTCAGCACTGGCTTCATGGCCGAGTCCAGAGATGGGCGTGGTAACGCAGCACTCACCAGGGTGGCCATCACTCAGGTCTGCCGTCAAGCCTTCAGCCCGTGGTCAGACTCCTCATTTTTCCGGGCCAGAGTGGCTCTAGAACAGGTGTCCAGGCCCCTGTGGTCTCCACGGATGCCTCCACCACGGGTTGGGGTGCCACGTACAACGGGCATGCAGTTTCAGGGATGTGGACGGATCTGCAACTGTATTGGCACATCAACTGCCGCAAGTTGTTGGCAGTACGTCTTGCTCTGGGCCGCCTAATAAAGCCACTACAGGGCAAAGACGTACTGGTCCGTACTGACAACATTGCGACCGTTGAGTACATCAACCGGCAAGGTGGTCTATGCCCCTGTCGCATCTCGCCGTGTATCTCCTCCTTTGGAGTCAGACGCATCTGAGGTTTTGTGCTGTTCATATTCCTGGGGTGCTCAATCGTGCAGCTGATGAGCTGTCACGACTGTCTCCACTCCCGGGAGAATGGAGACTCCATCCCCGGTCAGTCCAGCTGATATGGAGTAGTTTTGGAGCCCCATAGGTAGATCTGTTTGCCTCTCCAGAAACCACCCATTGCCAGTTGTTTTACTCTCTGACCGAGGGAACACTCGGTTCAAATGCGCTGGCTCACGGCTGGCCTCGGGGGAATACGCAAGTATGCGTTTCCCCCAGTGAGCCTACAAGTACAGAGATTGTGCAAGGTCAGGGAGGACGAGGAGCAGGTCCGGACCTGGTTCCCAGAACTGATGCTCCTCGCGACAGCCCCTCCTTGGGCCATTCCTCTGAGGAAGGACCTACTTTCTCAGAGGCAGGGCACCCTGTGGCACCCACGTCCAGATTTTTGGAGATTACATGTGTGGTCCCTGGACGGGACGCTGAGGTTCTAGGTGACCTACCTCAAGGGGTAGTGAACACCATCACTTCAGCGTGAGCGCTGTCTACGAGACAGGTGTACGCCTTGAAGTGAAACCTATTCATTGAATGGTGTTCTTCTCACCGAGAACACCCAGGTTTGGAGTATGGCGCCCAGGTTTAGGCTGGGTGCCAGATGTGTGATCCTACGGGGATCCCATGTGTAACATACCATGGCTGCTCCTAAACGGAAGCATGTGTCTTTCCCTTGGGGCCTCCCCCATTACTTTGTATAGAACAGCCCTACGGGGTTAGTGCTATGTACATCTCCACATAACTCCTCCGGGAAGAATGTGGCTTCTGCAGCGTTCGGGTCAATCTCGGCTCCTCAGCGAAAAACTGAAGTGCCTTTCGCACCTGCTGCTCATAATATACCCGCTCTGCGAGGCAGACCAGCTGTTGCAAATGATTGCACACCAATGTGCATTGGCTTGTTTAGTTTCACTCAAAGTAGATAGCTCTCTAGCGAGATTCCCTCAGTCATCATCGATGTACGATGTCCTTCAGGGAACGAGGGTTACATACGTAACCGAGACGTTTTTCATCAAATTAATGACCTTTTATTTCAATTTTGACCTAATCTCATGAATCTGATTTAGCATGTCCTAATCATGATTTTTCATCATATTAATGTCCTTTTATGTCAGTTTTGAGCTCATCTCATGATTATGATTTATCTTTACCCGTGCCTCCATCTTCTGCAGGATCTTCTTGCCTCCCTTCATGGCCGATTGCTCCTGCTCCTCCATCCGGCTGCCGGCGTCTCTGATCTGCATCTCCAGGCTCTTCCTGACGCGCTCCAGGTGTGTGACGTGTTCCTGCTCCACCCGCAGCTCCTCCGCCACACGCACCGCCTGCGGGACAGCACATCATCAGCTGGAGCATGTGTGTGTGTGTGTGTGAGTGTGTGTGTGTGTGTGTGTGCGCGCGTACCTCACAGGCTGATTTCTTGGCCTTGTCGTTGGCTGATCTCAGCTCAGTCTGCAGCTCCTCGTGCTCCTGCATCAGCTGCTGAAGATCCACCTCCAGCTTCCTCCTGCCACTCGACACACTGTGCAGCTGAGAGCAAACACACACACAGCTCCGTCACTCACTGCAGCTGAGAGCAAACACACACACAGCTCCGTCACTCACTGCAGCTGAGAGCAAACACACACACAGCTCCGTCACTCACTGCAGCTGAGAGCAAACACACACACAGCTCCGTCACTCACTGCAGCTGAGAGCAAACACACACACAGGTCTGTCACTTACAGAAGCAGCTAAAGTAATGACAGTTATGAAAATCTCTGAGCACAGCAGTGTTGAGGGTCAGGACCATAGACTGTATAAAAATATGGATGTAGTGTGTGTGACGTCACCCGTAGTGTTCCTGAAGAGCGTTTTTGAAGCCCAAAGTGGACGGAGCCGGCCGTCGCCATCTTGGCAACGCACCACTCCCGGATAAACGAAAATGGGCAAAGAGGCGGATTAGCTGAGGTGACGTGACGCTAACAGACAGCAGACAAACAGCTAATAGTGACAGCGGCAGTCCACCTGTCACTCAAGTGGCCACGCCATTATATTATGCCTTACATTTCTGCATAATTCATTTAAACGGATGAGTTATAAACAAATCCACCCCCTCACAGTTTTTATGAAGGGCAAAATTAGCTATATAGACCAAAACCACTTTTTACACCAGTCTGTAAACACATTTTTTTCTGCAGTAAAGTTGGGCCTTTTAACACGGGGGTCTATGGGATTGACTCTGGTTTGCAGCCTGTCTCTAGTGACCTGGGGCCTCATTGTGCGTAGGATCCTTACTAAAAGTGTACGTGCGCCCGAAAGCCAAAAATGGCGTACGCAAAAAAAAAATATTCAGATTTATAAAACCGTGCGTACGCCAGAACCTGCGCAGAATTCACTTTATAAATCCCGATAAATCCCAGTCAGCGGAAGATTGTGCGCACACGCGTCTCCTCCCCGAAATAACCATATATGGAGCCTTGCATATGATTATTCATCCACGTGATAACATGTTTAACGGTACAAGACATTAGGAAAATATGAAATAGCCTAATACGGATGTGCCGTCACATTAGCCTACATTAATAAAAATAATTTAGTAGCCTATCCTTGCCTTGTTTTTGAATAAATAAATCAAATAGTGTAAAATACATTTCAGAGAAAGTTTTCACAATCTTTTCCACTGACCAAATAGTATTTATTGATTTATATTTTTAATGGAAACAGATAGACTGTTGTGCATTATTTGCACGAAACTATATTTTCTCAGACAATCTGCTATAAGCAATTATCTCTTTAGTTAAAACATTAAAACACAGCATGCCAGAGGAAAAGTGTTCAAAAGCATTGCATCCACAACAAATATTTATATTTATTGAATATAAAAAATGTTGTAACTTCTCAGTAATGATTTCATGTTTAAGTGTTTAACTCCATCAATGACAATGGCATATTTAATCTAAATGTTTATATCAGAAGTAAAACAGTTTAAATCATTCTTTTATTTATTTAAACTGTTATTGTGAACATGCACTGTTTTTATGATTAGGACTCTGTCGTTAGATAGGCGTTAGTTTCACTAAACGGCCCAACGCGCTCGCTGGCGCGGACATTTAAGAAGGGATGAATATTTGCCTCAAGTGATATGCTTGCTGAGTGAAATTATATTTGTATTATCTTTCTGTACAGCCTATGTATAATTTTCTTTAGATTTTCTGACCAAAAAGACATTTAACTCCAGCTCACCATCGGTGTCGCCAAACTGCCCCGTCTCCAAAACGTTCGTACGCACGGGTCAGAGTTTGCGTGCAGGTGCGCACATTCTCCCGTCAAGTTTGTTTTTATAAATCACAACTTATGCGTCGGAAGTGGCGTCCGCAACGGTTATAAATGAGGCCCCAGTTGTTGAATAGAAGTGTAAGTCACTTCAGTGTTGGATTGAAGAGAGAGACCGGAAGGTTTCCGCTTGGTCAGTACCTGTGTGTCCAGCTGGCTGTGTCTCTCGGCTGTCTCGTGCAGCTCCATCTCCAGACTCCTGCGGATTCTCTCGGACGCCTCCAGCGCGGCTCGACTCTCCTCTCCCTCCGTGACCAGCAGGAGGCAGCGGCGCTCCATCAGTGTGTGCTCCTCCTTCAGCTGCTCCTGCACACGAGCCTCCTGCTCCAGCTGAGCCTGCTGATCCTGCAGAACACACACACACACACATCCTCTGGTGAGTGTATATACAATACAGGGTGTGTGTGAAGCGTCTAGTGCAGTAGTGTTGTGTAGTTAGTGCATGCCGCGCTGTGCTCTCTGCTTACAGCTGTTGCCGCTGGCTAGCCTTCTCGATAGAGGGTGAAAGAGGAGCCGAATGCGTAAGCCTCCTCCTGCCAGTACAGAGCCTCTCCACCACCAAGACTCCTGTAGTGCCTCCTCGGGGCCACACGCGGAAACTGGGTATCATACGGTCCCGGGCTAAACTACAGGGGCAGCTCACCGCGTCATAGGCGCGCCTCAGAGCAAGGGTCGGCTATACCTTCTTCTGGAAAGGTTCCCCCCAGGTGGAAAACCTCTTTATGGAGTAGGACTGGCCATCAAGAACACACTTCTACCAAGTCTCACAGAAACACCTGTTGGATTAGTGAAAGGCTAATGACCCTCCGTATCCCCCTGGCAAAAAAGCGTTATGCCGCATGTAAGTGCAGAAAATGTTTGTCTTTTATTTTGTATTTTTGCGTGTACGTTTCCAGGTGGTTTGGTCACATGGGTATCGGTGGGTATATACCTGGTAGTATTTCCTGTTTGGTTCATTGTGTAGAGAGGGGGTGAGTAGCGGGGAGTGCTCACTTTCTGTTGACCGTTTATACGTATCTTTATCATGTTTTACGTGGATAGTCTGTTATCATGCCAATAAAATGTTATTGGTTATTCAATGAAAGAAAACGCGTCACGGATATTTCCTGCTGCTTAGCCTCTCAGCGGCTATAGGGTGCCGCTACATTAGTCAACAGAAAACCTGCATAATTTATGGATTATGGACGCGACTTGGAAACGGCTGTTTCTGCATACAGCATGTTGTGGCGGACGTGCATCATGAAGTAGATTGACGGACACGACGCACATACAGACGGCAAACGAGGTATGTTGGCGGTTTTAATGGATTGTGCTGTATCACCGTTGTGGAAGACGCTGTTGTAGTCGTTGGATTGGAGTTGGGTTGAATGCGCTTTGTGCTGCTCGTGCATATTTATGGGCTCTCGTGTGCTGCCTTGTTACGTTCATTCATTGTTTGGCTCTGTGAGCGCGCTGTTTGAAACGGAGCTCACATTGTCCGTTGCGTTGGAGAATGATGGATTCTGAGGATATGGAGCACGCTGCTGGTAGCGGCAAACGAGAGCATAAACCCACGGCAAAAGCCCTGGTGGCTAAAATTGAAGCCTTGCAAAGGGATCGCAAGAGTAAAGTGAATAAAGTGAAGAGTTTGATTGGGTCAATGAAAGAGCTGATGATATGCGATGACAATGCGTCTCAAGTGTGTTCTATGCTGAAAACGACACAGCTGCTTATGGATGATGCATCTGCGCTGCATAAAGGAGTATTGCCTCTACTTCCTCCGGAGGAACAAAGTAAACAAAATGAATGGTTTGACTCCATTTTGGAACATTACAATGGCTTTGTGGATGACGTTAAACAATGGATGAATGAAGTTGGGAAATTGAATACCTGCACCGCTCCTTCTAATATCTGCGGGCCTGTGGTTGAGGAAGCCATATATACAACATCTCAAGGGGTTTGTGCATCTGATATTTCACCCTCTGCTGACGTGGTGTCCACGACACACAATACTCAGCCCTCTAATGTACATCTACAAGCTGGAATGGATTCTGGGAACCTCGAAAATGAAATTCAACCAATGGACAGCGCTTCAAATATAAGCAGTAAAAGATCTTCTGGAGTTACATCTCATGGGTCTCGATCATGCCGATCTTCCATTCGTCTTAAGGCTGAGGCAGAACTGGCTGCTTTATTGGCTTCTCAACAAATGCTGCAAAGGAAACATGATTTAGAGGAACAGGAGGAACTGTTGAGGAGAAGGAGGGAAAAACTGGAGTTGGAAACTAAATTAGCAGAGTCAATGGCAAGAGTAAAGGTGTATCAAGACGTTCATTCTGCATCTCATTCATCTGCGGATAGGACTATGTCGAAACCCCTTCATTCGGTGGCGGAACCATTTGTTCCTTCTGCTAATGTGCCATCAGCATCAGAGTCCATACCTGTAACACGTACATCACATGTCGATAATATACAAAGGATTTCAAATTATTCTCTATCTCAGTCAGGACAACAACAATCAACAAGATCTAAAATGAAACCTTCACAATCTACATTGCCTAATAGGTCATCATTGGATAATCAGAATAGTGAATATGCTCATGGGTCAGGATCAAGTTTTCAAATTGACGCAAGCCATACAAGCATGCTTCAGCTTATGGGTAAGCAGAATGAAATAGCTACCCTATTGGTTAAACAGCATAACTTGTCTTCACTTCCACCCAGAGAAATACAGTACTTTGATGGAGATCCATTGCGCTTTCATGAGTTTATGCGCACATTTGAGGAAGTTGTGGAAAAGAAGGCAGACAACCCAGGAGATTGTCTGCACTTTCTGGAGCAATATACACGAGGACAGTCGAAAGAACTTGTCAGAAGTTGCCAGCTCATGACCCCGTTACAAGGTTACTTAAAGGCTAAGGCATTGCTTAAGGAGAACTTTGGTAATGAGGTAAAAATTGCTTCGTCATATATGGAAAAGGCTCTTTCATGAAAAGCTATAAAATCTGAAGATGCTAAGTCTCTGCAAGAGTATGGTCTTTTCCTAAGGAGTTGTTGCAACGCTATGCAAGATATTAACTATATGAATGAGCTGAATTTCACCACTAACATGCAAATTATCCTCTCAAAGCTTCCTTATAAACTCAAAGACAGATGGAGAGTCGTTGCATATGAGTTAAAGGAGCGACGCCACAATCAAACCACCTTTTCTGATGTTGTTGACTTCATCGAGAAACAAGTAAAAATTCTATCTGACCCTGTATTTGGTAATATTCAGGATGTATCACCTGCTGGAGGTAGGAAGACTAATTTCAAAGCAAGTCAGCCAAAAACTAGAAGCAGCTTTGCAACCACTGTCACTGCTATACCTGAAATGAAAGAACACCATAAGATATCAACCAACAGAACCTGTCTCTTTTGTAGTGGTGAACACATACTGGATGTCTGTAATAAACTTATCAGAAAAAGCCATAGAGAAAAGATGAACTTTCTGATGACGAGAGGAATTTGCTTTGGCTGCTTGCATACAGGTCACCTCAGTAGGGACTGCAAAAGGAGAAGTATCTGTAATATATGTAGTCTTAAACACCCCAGTCTTCTTCACATTTATTCTCATGAGAAGGTAGATACTTTGGACCAGAAGAAAGCTGAGTTCAATTCAGCAGTAGCTAGTGCCATGGTCTCTCTCCAAACTAGTGGGCTTACTGGGGCTGGTAACGACAGCTGTGCGTTACCTATCGTTCCAGTTTGTGTTAAATCAAGAAAGGGAAACAGTGTGGTGAGGACGTATGCTTTTCTTGATTCTGGAAGTTCTGCTTCTTTCTGTACGGAAAGTTTGATGAACAAGCTCAATCTCCCCGGAAAGAGAGTTAATATTCTTCTCAGAACTATGAGTCAAGATAAATCAGTCGGTAGCTACGTTCTAAAGGATTTAGAGATTTCTGGGTTGAGTCAAGAATATTACTGTGCATTGCCCGAAGTGTATACTCAAAAGAGCATGCCTGTGACCACAGCAAATATCGCCTCACAGAAAGATCTTGAACGTTGGCCTTATTTGAGTCATATTTGTCTACCTATGATTAATGCTGGCATTGAGCTTTTGATTGGAGCTAATGTTCCAGAAGCACTGGAGCCTTGGGAGGTCATACGTAGTCAAAATAATGGCCCATATGCTGTAAGGACCCTGTTCGGATGGACTGTTAACGGACCACTTAAAGGAGTAGGCATGAATGGAGATGATGCTGCCAACCAACTTCCTGTGACTGTGAATAGGATTGCAGTAATGAAGTTGGAAGAGTTGTGGAAGCAGCAATTTAAGGCCGATTTTCCAGAGACTGCTCATGAAGAAATGGTAGGAACATCTAAAGAAGATCAGCAGTTTATGAATTTTGTGTCCAATTCAGCAAGACTGATTAAGGGTCATTATTACATCGGTCTACCATTCAGAAATGCTGAAGTAGTCATGCCTATGAACAGGAGAATTGCAGAACAACGTGCTTTAACTCTTCAAAAAAGGTTTAAAGTGAATTCTTCCTTTCATGCAGATTACACCACCTTTATGGAGGATGTGATCCATAAGGGTTATGCAGAAAGGGTACCGGCGGCTGAACTGGAGAGACGTGACGGACGTCTGTGGTATTTGCCCCATCACGGTGTATATCATCTCAAGAAACACAAGATTAGGGTTGTGTTTGATTGTGGAGCTTCTTATCAGGGTACATCACTGAATAGCAAGCTTCTACAAGGTCCAGACTTAACCAGTTCACTGGTGAGTGTACTTCTACGATTTAGGCTGGAACCTGTTGCCTTGATGGCCGACATTGAAGCCATGTTCCATCAAATCAGAGTTCACCCAGAAGATTGTGATCTCTTGAGATTTCTGTGGTGGCCAGAAGGTAATGTAAACGGCAGTCTGGAGGAATACAGAATGGTGGTCCATCTATTTGGGGCTACATCATCACCAAGTTGCTCGAGTTTTGCATTGAGGAAATGTGCAATGGATCAAAAGGATCTATTCGACCCCAAGACAATGGATGTCGTTTTCAATAATTTCTATGTGGATGACTGCCTTGTTTCCGTATCTTCCGAATCAGATGCTGTTCAGTTGTACAAGGATCTTACTAGTATGTGTGCTAAAGGTGGATTTCGTTTAACAAAATGGACGAGCAACAGCCGTGCTGTATTGGGTGTAGTACCTGAGAAGGACAGAGAGAAAAAGGTAAAGGATTTGGATTTCGATCGTGACACTTTGAAACTTTGTTCCAGTGGAACGAGCATTAGGAGTGCAATGGTGTGCTGAATCGGATGCCTTTCAATTCAAAGTGGTAGTCAAAGATAGACCTCTTACCAGGAGAGGAATTCTCTCAGTGGTTAGTTCCATTTACGATCCTTTGGGGTTCTTGTCACCTGTGATTCTGTCTGCCAAGAGGATACTACAAGATCTATGTAGGGAGGGAATTGGATGGGACAATGAAATTCCATCAGTGTATGTTCAACGTTGGATGAACTGGCTGGATGATCTGCATCACTTGGAGAGTTTTGAGGTCAGAAGATGTTTGAAGCCTGATGGGTTTGGAGATGTAATTTCTGCTCAAATGCATCATTTTTCAGATGCTAGCGAGCAAGGATATGGCGTGGTATCCTATTTGCTGCTCCATAATGACCAACAACAGGCATATTCTACCCTCTTAGTAAGCAAGGCAAGAGTTACACCATTAAGATCCATTACAATCCCTCGCCTGGAACTTACAGCTGCCACTCTTGCAAGCCGTATTGACAAGATCTGGATGAAAGAACTCAAGATGCCCTTTCAGAACTCCGTGTTTTGGACTGACAGTACTTCGGTACTCAAATACCTTCGAAATAGCTCCTCAAGATTTAAGTGCTTTGTGGCTAATAGAGTGTCCGAAATCCTGAAGGCTTCCGATGTAGAACAATGGAGGTACGTGAATTCGTCAAGTAATCCAGCAGATTTGGCGTCTAGAGGAGTGAAGGCGGATTCACTTTTGAAGAACGAGACGTGGATTTCTGGTCCCGCATTTCTCGTTCGATCACAAAAGGAGTGGCCTATGGACCCCACCTATAGGGATGTAATATTGCCTCGTGACCCTGAGATTAAAAGGAGTGCTTTGGTAAACATGATAGAAGTCAATGAAAATCCTGACTCCATATCATATCTCTTTGATTACTTCTCCTCTTGGATTCGACTAAAGAAAGCCGTAGCATGGATCCTTCGTTTGAGACGAATCTTGATGGATCGTAGCAAGGAAAGGAAACGACTGCAGACTGTTCTTGTCTGCTCTGATATAGATCCATATCAACAAGAGATGATTATTAATCAGGAGATGCAGAAGTTTGAACCTACAGTGCGTAAGGACTTACTTTCGTTGGAAGAATTGGAAAGGGCCGAAATGGAAATCATTCGACTTTCTCAAAGAAAGAGATTCCCGGAGGAACTAAATAGTCTACGAAAGTGTGGAGTAGTCAAGCGAAATAGTCCTCTTTATAGTCTTAATCCAATACTTCAGTGTGATATCATCAAGGTTGGTGGACGTCTTGATAACGCATTGATTCCTGAACACTCTAAACACCCAATTATATTGGCAAAGGACTTACACATTTCTAACCTAATCCTGCGACAAATTCATGAAGAAGTGGGACATAGTGGACGGAATTTCATGCTGGCAACTCTTCGACAGCGATATTGGATCCCTGGAGCTAGCGTAGCCATAAGAACATTTCTGTCAAAATGTGTAGTGTGTAAAAGGTTTAACGCAATTGCAGGTCATCAACAGATGGCTGATTTACCTCATGATCGAGTCTCATCAGACAAACCACCCTTTACTCATGTTGGACTGGATTGTTTCGGTCCATTTGAAGTAAAGAGAGGAAGAACCACTCTAAAGCGTTATGGAGTCATTTTCACCTGCTTGAACATTAGAGCCGTTCACATTGAGATGGTTGCATCACTGGACACCGACTCATTCATTCACGCACTCAGACGTTTTATCGCCCGACGAGGACAAGTGGCTGAAATACGTTCAGATAATGGAACGAACTTCGTCGGGGCCGATCGTGAATTAAAAGAGGCGATACAAAATTGGAACCACAGTCAGATAAACGACGTTCTTCTACAAAAGAAAATTAAATGGACTTTCAATCCTCCTACCGGTTCACACCACGGAGGTATCTGGGAAAGGCTCATCAGATCAATAAAGAAAATACTGAACTCCATTCTTCGAGGGCAAAGTCTGAATGAAGAAGGTCTTCATACTTTCTTGTGTGAAGTAGAGTCTATACTTAACAACCGACCCATAACTAGATCATCTTTGGATCCTGACGACATGGAAGCTTTAACACCTAATCATCTTCTCCTTCTAAAAACAAAGCTTACATTACCACCTGGATTGTTTGAGCAGGAAGATTTGTATGCTCGTCGAAGATGGCGTCAAATTCAGTATTTAGCCAACCAATTTTGGAAAAGATGGATCTGTGAATATCTACCTTTACTACAAGAACGACAAAAGTGGATGGTAAAGACACGGAACTATCAGTTGGGAGATGTTGTACTGATGATGGATGAAAACGCACCAAGAAGTTCCTGGATCATGGGTAAAATTATTCACGTGATAACAGACAAAAAAGGATTCACACGGCAAGTTAAGATCAAGACTATGAGTACCTGCTTGACCAGGCCAATTACAAAAATTTGTCGTCTTCTTGAAGCTGAGGAATCTAAAGATTAGCTATGACTGACATTTGAGAGCTCTCAACTGACTTTTTTGACTTGACCTTTTTGACTTGGACTTGATCGAATTACTGACTTTACTGACTTAGACTTGACTTTTACATTAACTTTACTCCAACTTTACAATGATGAACGTTTGAGCGCTCTGGACATTCTTGCACACGTTTTTTCACATTTCCTTAAGCAATGAAAAAAAGAAGAAAAAAAAAAAGGAAAAAGAAAATCATGTATAACAATTAATTATGTAATGTATGTTAATATTGTTCATATTTTGATTGTGTCTATGATTATTGCAGGTTTATTGTGTAATAATCAGGGGCTGGAATGTAAGTGCAGAAAATGTTTGTCTTTTATTTTGTATTTTTGCGTGTACGTTTCCAGGTGGTTTGGTCACATGGGTATCGGTGGGTATATACCTGGTAGTATTTCCTGTTTGGTTCATTGTGTAGAGAGGGGGTGAGTAGCGGGGAGTGCTCACTTTCTGTTGACCGTTTATACGTATCTTTATCATGTTTTACGTGGATAGTCTGTTATCATGCCAATAAAATGTTATTGGTTATTCAATGAAAGAAAACGCGTCACGGATATTTCCTGCTGCTTAGCCTCTCAGCGGCTATAGGGTGCCGCTACACCGCACTTCTCAGTGACTGCACCAACTTTGCCATCTGGAAATGAGCCCAAGGAATGCTTTTATCAAGCGCTGGATGAAACTCTTTGCAGAATCCCTAAGAGTGATAAGAACCTCCTGCAGGGGACTATTTTTTCCAGCGGAAGGAAGACTTTTAGTGATTTTACTTCATGAAAGTCGCACTAATACATATATTTTGGCTTTAAAATTTGTATTGTGTGGTAACCGTTTTATAAAAGCAATAAGGTACTCGAGGCTAGTGCTGTATCGTGAATGCCTCTCGTACCTTATTGCTTATGTATTGTATATTACCTACTTGTATTACTATTACTATCATTTTCTATCATTTGTATTTTTCAAATTTTCTATTATTATCTCTTTTTTCCTTTTAATTGATGTGTCTTATCTTTGGTTTTGGTCTTAATGTAACAAAAGAAAAAAGTGTCTATACTTTGTAATACTCTATTTTGTTGTAATAACATTTGTTTTGACCATGAATCTCACAGGAGGATGATGCTGATATCGGGGTCACGGCATTAGAGTGAGGAAGAGACCTTGATCTGCTGCTGCATCTTCTTCACGCTCTTCATCATCTCAGCGCTGCTCTTCTTCATCTGCTCCACCTGCAGCTCCAGCTCGCTCTGATCGGCCTCCATCTTCTTCTTGAGCCGCGCCGACTCCACCCGCAGCTTCAGCTCCACCTCCAGACTGGCCTGGACCGCCTCCAGCGCCCTCTGGTGGCTCTTCCTGCACACACACACACACACACACACACACACACGGAATGAACATATTCACAGGTGAAACTGGAAAAATTAGAATATGGTGCAAAAGTTCATTTATTTCAGTAATTCAACATAAAAGGTGAAACTAATATATTATATAGACTCATTACATGCAAAGTGAGATATTTCAAGCCTTTATTTGTTATAATGTTGATGATTATGGCTCTTATAAAAACCCCAAATTCAAAATTAGAATATTGTGAAAAGGTTTTCATAAGCTATAAGCCATAATCAATTTTATTAACTTTTTTTACAACAAAAATCAACCATCACTAAATAAGCCTTTGAGCTTTTTTTATTTTGTTATTTAGGTTTAATTTATATTTATTTCAGTTTCTGTTTTTTCCAGTTAATAATTTTTAGTCCTTAAGTTTATTCCAAAGGCAACATTTCTAATTTACGTTTTAAGTTTTTCACCGTCTTTATTTCAATGAAAATAATTTATGTCAAGTAGTTTTAGTTAATAATTACCCTGGTAACAACATCAGATTTTCACTTATCAATTACTGTGGGCAACAGAATTTACAATAGTGATATTAAATCGCAATATCTATATCTATAAGATAAATAAATAATGCCATCAGTCATAATTAAGCCTGTTTATTTTTATTTTTTTTCTTCAGTATCCTGATATAATTTTTTTTTAAAAAATAAATACATATAATTTATATTTAGCTGTTTATTTTATGTTTATTTTCCTTTCTGCCAGTGAATGACACTCAGGATGTGGAAACGGACAGATTAAAGCTGATCAGCAGAGAACAAGAGATCAAGTTACTCACGTAATGATTATTCCATGTCAGTGAAAGGCAGGAAATAAAGTATGAGGTGGAGAAAACAGAAGGATTAAAGGACTGACTGATTAGAGGCAGAAGAGGTTATTTCAGTGATGATGAAGATGATGAAGATGACGATACCTGTTGGCCTCGGCCTCCTCCTCCTTCTCCTGAAGTCTTCGCTCCACGTCTGCTTTAATCTGAGACACTTCCAGCTGCAAACGCAGAACCTTCGTCTCCTCGGCCTGCAGAAACACACACACATACACACACACACACACACACACACACACACACACACACACACACACACACACACACACACACACACACACACACACACACACACACTCAAACTCAGCGCTTCAGAAACATCTGCAGGAAATGCACAAAGCCAGCTTGTTTCTGACAGAGTTTTGTCTTGCAATTAAATTCTGACTTTATTTTTTGCAATTGCAAAATTATTAAAAGATATAAACACGTGAAAAGTTGCAATTACTTTTATTTTTTTATTATGTGGCGGAAACCAGCTTCCATATGATTCTGTGATTTAATATATATATATATATAAATTAGAATCATTAAAACCAACAAATATTTTGAGATTGAATATGATTTTCATATTCACGTTTTGGGAATTAAATCGAGTTTTTCAATAACTGAAGATTATATCAAAGTAATAACTGAACCTTATTTACAGTTTTGTGAGAGTTTCCTCTGTAATCATAAGTAAAGTACGTGAAGTGTGTGTCAGACCTCCAGCGCCGCCTCCGACTCCTCGAGCGACGCCTGCAGCTCTTCTTTCTCCATCTCCATCTTCTTCTTCATCTTCTGCAGCTCGTGGACGCTCTTCCCTCCATCCGAGAGCTGGTCTGTGAGATCCACCATCTCCTCTGAAACACACGCACGACACGATCACTGAGAGTTACAGCAAACACTCGTACGACACGATCACTGAGAGTTACAGCAAACACTCGTACGACACGATCACTGAGAGTTACAGCAAACACACGTACGACACGATCACTGAGAGTTACAGCAAACACTCGTACGACACGATCACTGAGAGTTACAGCAAACACTCGTACGACACGATCACAGAGAGTTACAGCAAACACTCGTACGACACGATCACTGAGAGTTACAGCAAACACACGCACGACACGATCACTGAGAGTTACAGCAAACACTCGTACGACACGATCACTGAGAGTTACAGCAAACACTCGCACGACACGATCACTGAGAGTTACAGCAAACACTCGTACGACACGATCACTGAGAGTTACAGCAAACACTCGCACGACACGATCACTGAGAGTTACAGCAAACACTCGTACGACACGATCACTGAGAGTTACAGCAAACACACGTACGACACGATCACTGAGAGTTACAGCAAACACTCGTACGACACGATCACTGAGAGTTACAGCAAACACTCGTACGACACGATCACTGAGAGTTACAGCAAACACTCGTACGACACGATCACAGAGAGTTACAGCAAACACTCGTACGACACGATCACTGAGAGTTACAGCAAACACTCGTACGACACGATCACTGAGAGTTACAGCAAACACTCGTACGACACGATCACTGAGAGTTACAGCAAACACTCGTACGACACGATCACTGAGAGTTACAGCAAACACTCGTACGACACGATCACTAAGAGTTACAGCAAACACTCGTACGACACGATCACAGAGAGTTACAGCAAACACTCGTACGACACGATCACTGAGAGTTACAGCAAACACTCGTACGACACGATCACTGAGAGTTACAGCAAACACACGTACGACACGATCACTGAGAGTTACAGCAAACACTCGTACGACACGATCACTGAGAGTTACAGCAAACACTCGTACGACACGATCACTAAGAGTTACAGCAAACACTCGTACGACACGATCACAGAGAGTTACAGCAAACACTCGTACGACACGATCACTGAGAGTTACAGCAAACACACGTACGACACGATCACTGAGAGTTACAGCAAACACACGTACGACACGATCACTGAGAGTTACAGCAAACACTCGTACGACACGATCACTGAGAGTTACAGCAAACACTCGTACGACACGATCACTGAGAGTTACAGCAAACACTCGTACGACACGATCACTGAGAGTTACAGCAAACACTCGTACGACACGATCACTGAGAGTTACAGCAAACACTCGTACGACACGATCACTGAGAGTTACAGCAAACACACGTACGACACGATCACTGAGAGTTACAGCAAACACTCGTACGACACGATCACTGAGAGTTACAGCAAACACTCGTACGACACGATCACTGAGAGTTACAGCAAACACTCGTACGACACGATCACTGAGAGTTACAGCAAACACTCGTACGACACGATCACTGAGAGTTACAGCAAACACTCGTACGACACGATCACTGAGAGTTACAGCAAACACTCGTACGACACGATCACTGAGAGTTACAGCAAACACACGTACGACACGATCACTGAGAGTTACAGCAAACACTCGTACGACACGATCACTGAGAGTTACAGCAAACACACGTACGACACGATCACTGAGAGTTACAGCAAACACACGTACGACACGATCACTGAGAGTTACAGCAAACACACGTACGACACGATCACTGAGAGTTACAGCAAACACTCGTACGACACGATCACTGAGAGTTACAGCAAACACTCGTACGACACGATCACTGAGAGTTACAGCAAACACTCGTACGACACGATCACTGAGAGTTACAGCAAACACTCGTACGACACGATCACTGAGAGTTACAGCAAACACTCGTACGACACGATCACTGAGAGTTACAGCAAACACTCGTACGACACGATCACTGAGAGTTACAGCAAACACTCGTACGACACGATCACTGAGAGTTACAGCAAACACTCGTACGACACGATCACTGAGAGTTACAGCAAACACACGTACGACACGATCACAGAGAGTTACAGCAAACACTCGTACGACACGATCACTGAGAGTTACAGCAAACACACGTACGACACGATCACTGAGAGTTACAGCAAACACTCGTACGACACGATCACAGAGAGTTACAGCAAACACTCGTACGACACGATCACAGAGAGTTACAGCAAACACTCGTACGACACGATCACTGAGAGTTACAGCAAACACTCGTACGACACGATCACTGAGAGTTACAGCAAACACTCGTACGACACGATCACTGAGAGTTACAGCAAACACTCGTACGACACGATCACTGAGAGTTACAGCAAACACTCGTACGACACGATCACTGAGAGTTACAGCAAACACTCGTACGACACGATCACTGAGAGTTACAGCAAACACTCGTACGACACGATCACTGAGAGTTACAGCAAACACTCGTACGACACGATCACTGAGAGTTACAGCAAACACTCGTACGACACGATCACTGAGAGTTACAGCAAACACTCGTACGACACGATCACTGAGAGTTACAGCAAACACTCGTACGACACGATCACTGAGAGTTACAGCAAACACTCGTACGACACGATCACTGAGAGTTACAGCAAACACTCGTACGACACGATCACTGAGAGTTACAGCAAACACTCGTACGACACGATCACTGAGAGTTACAGCAAACACACGTACGACACGATCACTGAGTTACAGCAAACACTCGTACGACACGATCACTGAGTTACAGCAAACACACGTACGACACGATCACTGAGAGTTACAGCAAACACTCGTACGACACGATCACTGAGAGTTACAGCAAACACTCGTACGACACGATCACTGAGTTACAGCAAACACACGTACGACACGATCACTGAGAGTTACAGCAAACACACGTACGACACGATCACTGAGAGTTACAGCAAACACTCGTACGACACGATCACTGAGAGTTACAGCAAACACTCGTACGACACGATCACTGAGAGTTACAGCAAACACTCGTACGACACGATCACTGAGAGTTACAGCAAACACTCGTACGACACGATCACTGAGAGTTACAGCAAACACTCGTACGACACGATCACTGAGAGTTACAGCAAACACTCGTACGACACGATCACTGAGAGTTACAGCAAACACTCGTACGACACGATCACTGAGAGTTACAGCAAACACTCGTACGACACGATCACTGAGAGTTACAGCAAACACACGTACGACACGATCACTGAGTTACAGCAAACACTCGTACGACACGATCACTGAGAGTTACAGCAAACACTCGTACGACACGATCACTGAGAGTTACAGCAAACACTCGTACGACACGATCACTGAGAGTTACAGCAAACACACGTACGACACGATCACTGAGAGTTACAGCAAACACACGTACGACACGATCACTGAGAGTTACAGCAAACACTCGTACGACACGATCACTGAGAGTTACAGCAAACACTCGTACGACACGATCACTGAGAGTTACAGCAAACACACGCACGACACGATCACTGAGAGTTACAGCAAACACTCGTACGACACGATCACTGAGAGTTACAGCAAACACTCGTACGACACGATCACTGAGAGTTACAGCAAACACTCGTACGACACGATCACTGAGAGTTACAGCAAACACACGTACGACACGATCACTGAGAGTTACAGCAAACACTCGTACGACACGATCACTGAGAGTTACAGCAAACACTCGTACGACACGATCACTGAGAGTTACAGCAAACACACGTACGACACGATCACTAAGAGTTACAGCAAACACTCGTACGACACGATCACTGAGAGTTACAGCAAACACTCGTACGACACGATCACTGAGAGTTACAGCAAACACTCGTACGACACGATCACTGAGAGTTACAGCAAACACTCGTACGACACGATCACTGAGAGTTACAGCAAACACTCGTACGACACGATCACTGAGAGTTACAGCAAACACTCGTACGACACGATCACTGAGAGTTACAGCAAACACACGTACGACACGATCACTGAGAGTTACAGCAAACACTCGTACGACACGATCACTGAGAGTTACAGCAAACACTCGTACGACACGATCACTGAGAGTTACAGCAAACACTCGTACGACACGATCACTGAGAGTTACAGCAAACACTCGTACGACACGATCACTGAGAGTTACAGCAAACACTCGTACGACACGATCACTGAGAGTTACAGCAAACACTCGTACGACACGATCACTGAGAGTTACAGCAAACACTCGTACGACACGATCACTGAGAGTTACAGCAAACACTCGTACGACACGATCACTGAGAGTTACAGCAAACACTCGTACGACACGATCACTGAGAGTTACAGCAAACACACGTACGACACGATCACTGAGTTACAGCAAACACTCGTACGACACGATCACTGAGTTACAGCAAACACACGTACGACACGATCACTGAGTTACAGCAAACACTCGTACGACACGATCACTGAGAGTTACAGCAAACACTCGTACGACACGATCACTGAGAGTTACAGCAAACACTCGTACGACACGATCACTGAGAGTTACAGCAAACACTCGTACGACACGATCACTGAGAGTTACAGCAAACACTCGTACGACACGATCACTGAGAGTTACAGCAAACACTCGTACGACACGATCACTGAGAGTTACAGCAAACACTCGTACGACACGATCACTGAGAGTTACAGCAAACACTCGTACGACACGATCACTGAGAGTTACAGCAAACACACGTACGACACGATCACTGAGTTACAGCAAACACTCGTACGACACGATCACTGAGAGTTACAGCAAACACTCGTACGACACGATCACTGAGAGTTACAGCAAACACTCGTACGACACGATCACTGAGAGTTACAGCAAACACACGTACGACACGATCACTGAGAGTTACAGCAAACACACGTACGAC